TAGAACTACATTATATTTATATATTGCCTATCTGCAAAACAAACGGTGAATGGGGAGTTGGCAGGGACTCCTCGGGGATTGCACAGGAGTTCTGTACGAGTCCATGCATGACTTTCTCCAACAGGACTCCTGCAGGAATTTTTTTTGAATTGCTCATGACTCCATGCATGACTTTCTCCAACAGGACTCTCGAAAGGACTCCTGCAAGAATTCTTTTGGGACTCCTCATGACTCCATGTTGGACTTTTCACTTTAGAAAGTTCCTGCGAGAGTCATCAGGACTCCTTACGATTCCTGCTGGAGTTTTTCATAAACTTGAGACTCCCGTTGGAGTTTTGCCGGGAGTCTCGACTAGGGTATGATCAAATATATAAGCAAAAATAATTTCTTTCATCAATGTTTAAACCATCTAAAATTTAGAGAATAAAATTGCAAAATCCAAAAAACATTTGACAGAAAAAAACCAACATCAATATTTCTACTCTAAGCTTTACTTCGTATTGTTACAGAAATTATACAATCAGATAGAAATTAGGTAGAGGTCTCTTTCTGCAGTTCACATGACATTGGTTCCTGCTAATTCTACAACACAAAACAAAATATAAAGAGGATCTTCTTTTTAACATTGTACAACTATGACTCAACTATTATTCTCTATAGAGTTTGTAATATATTGTACACTGCCCTATCGAAGGGCAGTGTACAATTGCGGCATCTCAATTGACGGACATTATTAGTCACTATGACGACAAGAAACGAATGTGTCATTGAGGATACGTCATTCAGTCTCGTATATATCACCATTTGTTGCAAAATAAAGTCAGAACAATTCCAGAATCATGTGTTTAACTTAGTTTCAGTGATTGAGGAAGTCCACACAGGCGTGCGATATTGGAGAAAATTGACAGTTGCAATAATTTAGCATCCAGGTAAACATATTTCGCGAATTTATCATTTCTGCTCTCGGATGTATAACCAGCATAAAGCTGTTATCTTGGTATGGACAAAACTCTTTTGAATTTGCTTCATGCTGAATAAAAATCTTTAAAAACACTGCACTAAAGTTTACAGTAGATTTTATTTCTAGGCTATTTTGCTATTACGTCTCTGCTAGGTGACTGATCAGCAAAGCCTCTTTCTGTTGAGGGGGACTTATGATTATAAACTTTAATCATCCATTGTTAAAGAGTGTCTTATTTTGTTCGAATCGTAACATTTTCACTGATTTCTGAATGAACAGAAGAAACACAAGGAAGTGGGAGGTTATTTAGATATAATTGGCTATAAACAAAGAGAAAGAGTTTCAAAGAGAGAGGAAGCCATCAAGAACATTTAAAAACATTGAAAAACATAAGGTTAGTATAGTAGAACATCGCCTAAAAAGAGAATTTATAAAATCTTGAACATGCGAAAAATCATTCAGAGTAGAACAAGAGAGAAATAATTAAAAAAATATCAGGAAACAGACATATTTCATAAAATGTCAAAAAATTGATTTGGGTTACAAATATGAGAATGCAGTGCTATGAGCGCAGCGCCACCATGCCCTCCTCAGTTATGGTTGCTCACATCTTCTAGCAAATAGTAAACAATAAAGTTTTTTTCTCGTTGTGATGAAAGAAGCGGCAGTTTTTGTACAGGTAAGGGATACTGATGAGAAGAAAGCAAAAGAGAGAGTTTTTATGCGTATTTTATGCTTTTTCAGTGGTAGGGTTGAAAACAGGAGAACTCACATCTTTACTATTCAGAGTATGTATATAGATGTAGACATTTATATAACTATGCGGGAAGATCTAGAAGTAAAGAGTATAATACACCAAAAGATTGTTTTTTCTCCCTAAAATTAATATGAATTTTCCTAATTTGCAGTATTCATGATCGTTGGTGGTTTTCAGCGTGGCAATCACAACGTTGTCATACTGGAACGCCCACCGCGACCTTGCGTGATACGCAGAGAATTGGACGCCTAGTTGTTCCGCCTCTTTGTTCGGTTACTAGATTATCGATGGCAAAGACTTTTTCTAAGTGCCATATCTTTCGCGGATAGACCACCACAAGTCTGAACGTAACACACCCGTATTATGGATGTGTACGAATTCCAGAAAACTTACAAAAGATGTACAAGAGAAAACGACTCACTCTGAGATTTCATTAGTTTGATGACGGACAAGGATCAGTCTCCTCACCTGGAATAAAGCTAACAACAGTTTTCCATTTTGAAGAAATTTTGAATTTCTCGATCTATGTGGGGTTTTATTTATTTCACTTTTGTTTATTCGACTTTTGCTCTTTGTATATAAATTGAAAATCTCACTGTTGATACATCTAATCATCGAAATATATGACAAGCGGATTTTTTTCATCTAGAATATTGTGGAATTCCTCTTACTAGTCTCCTCAACACGAACTTCACCTCCAGCTAGATTATTCTTACTGAGAGCTTACCTGAAACAACATTGTTGAACGGCACTGGCAAGATCAGTACGACATAGCAGAATTAGTCTGTTTTTCAGATTCTGTAAGCGCTAGAGGGAAGTAGATTTACTTTCTTAAATTCACTGCTTTAGTAATTCTAGATCGAGCAAAAATGTCATTAGCAGGTGCATCGCCATCTTCGGCAACAAAACGTACAGCTGATACTAATGTAACAAATGGTGCATCAGCCGTTAAGAAAGGTGGTGGTCATTGGTCAACGGCCTTAACATCGGCGGTGGAGGACGAAAGCGTTCAAGTGTATAAAGATGATTTGTGTACAATAATCAATGATAAATATCCAAAAGTAGGTGTAGTTCGCAAGCGCTACTTGTTTTGCCACCTTCTATTACTCGTTTAGGCTAAACATCACATGCTTGCTATGCCAAATGAATATATTGCAAATTTGAAATCATTGACGTCAGCACATGTTCCACTACTCAAACATATGCTACAAGTGGGAAAAGAAACGGCAATGAAGTATGCACAGTTCCGAAAGATATATCTCTTACCTTTCTGTCAAGATAACCAGTAGTGAGCAAAGCTCAACTCTGTTTATTTTCTATTTTTAGACTTCGTAAAGCTGGTGATTCTTCTGATGAATTTCGTTATGGTTATCATGCTATACCATCACTGTCATTGTTACATATGCACATCATTAGTCAAGATTTTAAATCGGATTGTTTAAAAACAAAAAAACATTGGAATTCGTTCACGACCAGTTATTTTATGGATGCTGAAGATGTCATTGATGAATTACAAACACATGGACAAGTTCAAGTTGATTCTGCACCATTTTACAGACTATTAGAACAAGAACTGACATGTCATCGATGTCAAGGTAAATTTAGAACAATGCCAAAATTGAAAGAACATATTGATCAACATAGATAACATAGGAAGATGGACAATGGTGGTTATTGTACATTCCATAGTTGGGTAAAGATTTTCAGTTTAATAATATAAGAAGTTTTACAGCGATTTTCTAAACGGCTGCAAAACTTCTGATATGGTTACTAAACATTTACTTATCTATCTTTTTTTTGTATTATAAGATTTAATGTAAATTTTTTTGTATGTAGACAGGAAACATTTGTATGATTTAATACATGTGAATTGATCGCATGGTAAATGTCTATTAGGAGATATTGATTATCTTTTAATAAAAGCTGAAGAGTTTGCATGGCGAGAAGGATTTAATATATTGAATTGACGCACCATTTGTTTTTATTCGGAATAAACAAAAGTTAGCACAATAAAAAGTTTACTTTTGGCTGAAGTATATTGTGAAATCAATAGTGTTAGCTGTGTCATGTTCTTTACAAAAAAACATCAGGAATACGAAAGTACAAAAGACAGATAAACGATCAAAATGTATAGGGTAAAAGTAAAACATGAAGGCCAGAGAACCCAGATCTTCTGATTTTGGCAGAAAAATTCTGATTTTTGGAACTGTTTCTGCTCTTTTTTGCCCTAAGGCCTACTGCTTTTCTGTTTCTTTTCCTCAGATTTTCGTGTTTTGGATCTGGGATCCCTGATGAAGACAGACACTTATAGACAGCACACAGACATCCACAGATAGCCACTGACAGCATAGAGACACTCATAGACAATAAAAAGTAACTACACAGACATCCACTTCTACTGACATGGGAGCGACACAGAAGTGGATGTCTGTATAGTTATTTTTGGTTGTCTGTGGATGTCTCTATGCTGTCAGTGGCTATCTGCGGATGTCTGTGTGCTGTCTATAAGTGTCTGTGGGTGTCTTCATGTTTTACTATTACCCAAATGTATAGCTCATCAATGACACATAGCGTAGACTTGAAGATTTATCATAAATATAGTATGTAGTATCTACCAACTTTTGTCTCTTACCATTCAAAGATAAAAGACAGTTTACATAACTTTAATCGTGACTGAATTCGATCATCCATCTCATAGACTGTTTATGTAGAAAACTATGAGCCTTTGATGACTATTTTGATTTCATGAAAAAACCTATGTCTTTTTAGTCTCTTCCAACATTTTCGTGAGTCTGAAGGAATTGTAAACAATTTTTCTGACATGACTAAATTACCTTAAACAAGAATCATTACGCTGAATTTCTGATGTTCAAATGTTTATTATTTTTTCCCTTGACAAACAAAATAAAATTATTTTATATCTGTAGTCGACTTTGAGGTCAATCATCTCTCTTCTTTTGCATTTAGCACTTGTATATGACGAAGATGGAAGATTTCAGAATTTCTGATACAAAAACCTATGAACACTATATAGTTGGACGATGATACTCAGGTACTGTTATCCTCCATTGTAATAGTACCATCCTTTCAAAAGGATTTGCACTGATATTGAAAGATAAGACTGATAAATTGTCTATCTTAAAAAAAGATGGATGCATTCAGCTAATTTTCGATCAACTTATCACATCTTATTTTATTTTATTTTTCGTATTACATTCTGTAGATTTTTATTGATCATCAGAATATCAACATGTGAATGACAACAATGCCTACCTTGAAATGAAACTGATTTTCATTTGTACATATTTTATTTTTCTCTCTTAATAAGAAATACACGAACTGCTAGATTACATTTAAAACCCGATGAATGCAGATAAATATTAACTTTTATTGCACAATTTTTAATTCGATATAATCACACAATATTTGATATTTTTTGTATGGCATCATCCATACTCTCATTCCAAAATAGACTTCAGATAATTCATAAACAGTTATTGTACCCATCGAATGTTCAAACCAATTTTTGTCGTTTAGTGCATAATTCATTTCGAACCATTCACCATCCCACGTATAATTTGACATAAGACCATATTCAGGTATACAAGTAAATTCACCGGAAAAATTATCATCTTCACGTTGAAGTTCATAACGAACAATATCTAATTTCATACGAACAACTATTTGATATTCACCGGGAATCACGTCTATGAAAGAACCGCGTACAGCCGACAACCATTTGTAATCAACATGTGCAACATATTCACTGATACTTGTCGAATCTTTTTCACACAACGGATGTAAATTAAGATTATCAAAACAAGTAAACATACTATTGACCGGTAAACGTTTACGATCTAATAAATAGAAATATACGAGTTTTGATAGTAAAACAGTTTGTTTAAATGATATTAATTTTTCATTATTAAATTCATAAAATATGAGATGAGAACGAAATGTTTTTTCGGTTATAGCCATTTTTAATTGATGTTTTAATTTTGGAAAATAAAATTTAGCACGTTTAGCAGCAGCAAAACCTTTAATATTATTATTTTGTGCAGCAGTAATAGCCATTGTCCATCCTGTACGTAAAATAGTTGGGGGTAGTTGTTTATATTGTCGTTCAAATTCTTGTTGATTATGTGTTGATTTGTAAAGAAGATCAGTTGTGTTTGTCTGATGAAATAGAAGATTACAATAAAGATGCCATAGACGTTGACCAAAATGAGTACGAATTAAATGTATCCAAAATGGATCAGTATTTATTAGTTGATATAGTTTTTGATTTGTCTGACTAAGATAAACGATATCGATAACAGATAAATGTTCACAAATATAATACCACAGTATTTCGGGTAAATCTAACCAGTTATGAGAAGGAAATGATACAGTACTAGTCATAATTTCATTTATCTAAAGAAGAAGCAAATATAAATATCTGTTCTTAATATAAACAAATTGAACATTTTTAAACTTTTTTTTATTATTATTAATAGAATATTTATAATATTTCTACTATAAAATACACTAACTTCTGTTTCGACGTTTTTAGTACCTGTTAATATGAGATTTTTGCTCACAAATTTTCTCGTGATCTCTAATACATTTGACTGGTTCGAATAGTGTCATGCAAAGATATTCGACGAAATATGTACTGAGAATGTGATATATTAGAGAGAAGAATATTCTGTTACTATCCATACTTTTATAGAATATACATCATATGCTGAAAATATTATTATTTTTCTTTTCTCTTCAGCAATGATGTTTTTCGGAGATAGATTATACGTCTTTTTAATTATGCACATGGACTCGGAAAGAGATCGAGAGAGAATTTTCTTTTTTTGTCTATTATTTCTGTCCCATTTCTTATCATCTATAACTTCTGTGATACAATTTTAAGAACATTACATACAAGAAATTATCCTATGAATATTTCACTTTTCTGCAAAAAAGACTAATTTCTTGTATTAAAACACGTTCATATTACAGTGCTGTTGTTAGAAGGTGCAATGATTTGTTAGTTGAAAATTTTTGGGTATATCTATGCATTTAAATACAGGATAGTATGAAGCATATAGCCAAAATTCTACTAGTGTATTAACATGCGAAGTGTTCTATTAAGTCACTTTTGGTAAAAAAAGAATCGTACGATTGCCAGCGAAAACATTAGCAATATAATGCGCTTATTAGCAATTGAATTCCTATATGGTGCATTAGTTTTAATCAGATAAAATAAAAGAGAGTTTCTGAAAAACTTTTTAAAAATATTTTAGACAATATATAGAATACGCTGATTGTAGATGGTATATCCTGCATAATACATAGTAATATTTGATATTTTAACCATTTTGCGGCTATTCCCATTTCAATGATTCAAAGCAGGATTAAATGGAGCCTTAAATTTAAACAGATTTACAGCTCGGCAGTTTTTCCATGGACATAGTCATACTCTTGATCTTAAAATCATATATTCTCGAGATATTTCGTAAATTTTTGTTTGCCTTTGTGAACTATTGTAGAAAAAAAATAAACATTGTTCATAAACCTGCTGTGCAGCCGAGAAATTTTATATTAAAATGTTTAACAGTATCCTTCTTCTTTTCACAGGTCTGCAACCATTATTAATATTCATTATATTCAATAAACGTTGTCAGGAAAGAAAGGTACATCATATGTTAAACGGAAAAAATCACAATAAATTATTACGTAGAATAATACCTCTCGAATACTATTAAATTTTAAATTGGTTATATTTATAAATCATAAACATAAAGTTGACTGTTTAAGCTATAAATAACAAGACAATTTTGATCGATTAAAGCAGTAGAAATACTTTTCTTCGTATAATTAAATGTCAATACGTTTGTGTATGTCATTTTAGAAAGAAGTAATAGAAAGCGCATGTATCTACATTGTAATTTGAAATTCATTTCCAGTTTATAGAAAATCGATCTGAAAAATCGTGGAGCTTTTTCTGATATTTATAAAATGCTCGTAGATTTTCTGACTTTTTAGAAATTCGCGATTTTGTATTTTCTATAAATTGACTTTTCATTTTATTTAGAAAATCGCCATAGAATTTCTAAAAATATGAAAATTCGGCGTCGATTTTATAAATACTAGAAATTCGAGTTTGATTTTCTAATATTCTAGAAAATTGATTGATTTTCTATAAATAATTCCCAAGATTCTTGAAATTCAAAATCGATTTCCAGTTTTCTTGAAAATCAATACCGATTTTTAAGATAGTTGGAAATTCGAAGATGATACGGTGTACCTGGGCCAGTCATGTTATGTGCAAGTCATAAGTTAATAACGTTTTTTGAGTTTATGGGCAAGATTAAAAATAAAAATTCAATACTTTTGTGTGCATAAAATTAAGCAGAAATTCTACTAGGGATCTGAAACTAGAAAAAAGATTAAGATAATTTTCAGGGTCCACGAAGCTCTTTCAACAAAGATTGTTGATCTAACACATCCATCTAAAGCTCACAGATGTTCGTAGTTCATTACATTCTTGGCAGTTGCAGGCGTTTTGAATCTTCATCAGGTTTTAGTACTCACTCTTGCCCTTACGAGGGAACCTCGTGAGGTGATATTTCGCTTTTTGATCGAAATCTAGTGGATTATAGGTTATCGACCATGCTGATTCCGAATATGACCATGAGAGTTGCCTATAGCCCTTCAAAGGTCCGGTCTTCTGAAAAAGTGGTTTTTCAGAAACTCCAGAAAATAACCCAAACTTTTCTTAACAGTACAGGATTGTAGCGCGCAAATTTCTGATTAAAATGAGGCATCCCCCAGCTCTACGTGACCCTTCTTTGCAAAGTTATAGAATTTATAAGAGCCCTGAATTAATTATTTCTGTAGCTTTGAGCTAACAAAGAACAATTTAGGACTCTTCTTATCAATTCTATCACTTTGCAAAGAAGGGTCACGTAGAGCTGGGGGATGCCTCATTTTAATCAGAAATTTGCGCGCTACAATCCTGTACTGTTAAGAAAAGTTTGGGTTATTTTCTGGAGTTTCTGAAAAACCAGTTTTTCAGAAGACCGGACCTTTGAAAGGCTACAGGCACCTTCCATGGTCATATTCGGAATCAGCATGGTCGATAACCTATAATCCACTAGATTTCAATCAAAAAGCGAAATATCACCTCGTTAGATTCCCTCGTTAGTCTTGACATTTGGACTTTAATTTAATTTTACCGTCTTTTATACTATTTTTTATTTTGGATGATAAAGACTTTAAAAGTCACTGCTTAAAGCTCAACTGCACTTCAAAAACGCGTTTTATTTGAGTACGCATCTAAATGCATTTTAGGAAAAGCGTACTGTTTGCTTTATCTAATGCTTAAAACGCGTTGTTTCTGCATGCAAACAACAAACGCGCTTAGACGTGTCAACAAAATTTTATAACATTTTAGACATATTACCGTACATTGAGTACATTGAAAATACACTAAATTCTCATATAACGCGTGTTTGGGATTAACTAACATTACTTTTTTTAACGTTACCTTCCGAGGTCAAAAACGCGTCTAACGACTAAAATAGCACCACTGGAACGCGTTCCAAGGTCAATAAAAATATGTCTTTATGGGTTAAGGTTTGTTGAAACGTCATTTCTGCATCCACACACGTATCACAATGCTGCGAAAGTTTTGAAAATTTTCTAGTCGAATTGTGAACGCGTTGTAAAACGTTTTGTCGATGCAGAAACAATGTTTTAGAAAACATTAACGCATAAAAGACATATTTTTTGATCTTTCGATACGTTAAAATGGTGTTATTTTAATCCATAAACTTGCTTTTAATCTCGGAAGATAATGTTATAAAGCGTTAATTAATCCCAAAGCGCGTTATGAGAATTTAGAGTGTATACTTTTAATGTATTATAACACGTCTAACATTTTAAGTTGTCTTTTGCAGCGTAGCTTCATTGCTACATAAGCAATAATCTTGAAATTCCTCGGCAATTTTCCAGATAACTGGAAATTAATTCTATTTTTTGAATTTTCAAAAGTCCGTATATAAAATCGCCGACGCATTTCCAGATTGAAAATCGCTGAGCATTTTCAATAATTCTAGAAAATCGAACTGAAAATTCGACTTCGAATTTCAAGAATGCTGGAAAATCGAGGTCGAATTTCCAAGTTTCTTGTAAATTCGATTTTCTAGAATCTAGAAAATCCTCAAGGAATTTATATATGAACGTTTTGAAAATCGCCGAGTATTTTCTATAAATAATTCCCGACATTACAGTGTATTCTCGTCGATAAATCACATAATTTAATTAAAAGTTATTTCCATTTTCTAGAATCATCAATATAACATACTGTCAAATTTATAACAACGTATGCAATCGAAGAGTGTGCACATCAAATAAAGGCGTATCTAAACGTTTAATCATTTTCCGATTTTAAATTTGGACGTCCTCTAACCAGTGTCTTTCTTTTTCATAATTAGCTAACAATGTTTATTCTGAACATATACAACTATATAACTTATTTTCATTCATACTTCTAAATTGATTAATATATTCAATTTCTATGCTACCATGTTTCAACATCAAATGTATGAAATTTATTATGAAAATAACATTTTAAATTTCGTTAAATAGAATAATTAACAAGGATCATATATCTTCTCATTATTCCATTGAATGATTAACTTTTTACCTGTTCATTGAGAAGAGAGAGTCTTGTCTTCACATTTGACAGATGGAACGAGATCGTGCAAAGCAGTGATAGCCCGTATAACTTACATCCGATCGAGTTTAGTTAGTTGAATCTCTTTCTTCTTGTTTTATTCTACTTTAATCGATCTGAGCATTACCTCATTGCTTAAGGTCAGTTCTTTAAGTTCTTGAGTCCTAGTGATATGAATCGTAAACTATGACTTTTTGCTTGTTTTTCCTGTCGCATATCGTTTGACTCCTAGTGACACATTTTTGCTTTCGTTTGTTTCATTTAGCAGATCTTGAGCATGCTGTCTTGATTACTGTGCAGCTGCTTTTACCGTTCTGATTGTTTTTATTTCTCGTAAGTTAATCTCGATTTACACTAAACTATCGTTCTTTGTTGCAACAGTCGTGCAACAGGCGATCATGCTTTTAGACGATTCTATGAAGCTGAACAGAAAGCTCTTAATATTGAGTAACCTTCTCAGAATATTTGGCCGAAATGATTCTCTGCGACTGAATAAAAACGAGATGAAAAGGTACGTCAATAAGTAGCCATATAAGATTTATGTCATTTTCATCATTAAAACCGTCTATTCAGTCATAATGACGTAAATATCAAGTGATTGTTGACTAGTTTATTACTTTGTAATCTCATCATACTTTATAGTTAGAAACAGAAGCTGTGACTCCATTGACAATGTTCTCATCTCATCTACCGAAACTGGATTTTATTCATTATCAAGTTACATGGTCCAAATCGACTGTCACCCAATTCATATGTAATTAAATTAATAGTACTTTCGCTCTGTGAATAGTGTGTATGCAAGAAATGACATCGTTTTAGTCAGCTAATAGCATTGCATCATTTTCGAATTTTTTAATCAAGTCATGTTTGTTTACTCTTCTACGGCATATATTCGCGCACTAAGTGACCTCTTGAGCTTACACAACACATAGGTGTGCTATTTCCATGAACATAGATACAGGATACTGCGTATACGCAGGTGAAAAAGAAGCATTTACTATTGCAACTTCATTGGAAGTCAGCTTATCATCTCCTATATCTATCTCATCTAACATCGTGCGTTGTATTGGACTTTAAGACAAGATAACGACAACAGTTCTTTTATTTCAAAAAAATCTTGTTTTTATATTTATTTGTTCTTGCCACATTTTTTAGTGCCATAATAAAGATAGCATGGCTGTAACTGTCTACACACAAACACATACAAAGACAACACAAACAGAAAAAAAAAACACGGAAGATTTGACATTTTGATTACATACAAACACACAGTTAGTGTCTTTTTTATACTTTGCTAATTACTCATCGTTTAATCAACTTCTTCCATTCTCGAAGCTTCAGCTGAGGCAGCAGTCGCATCGCCTTCGCTTAATGAAGGCATATCGTCTTTACCAGCCGTCGTTGAATCTGTATCACCACTAACAACATCTTCTTCATCAATACCTGAAATCGAAAAAGCATTCATGAAAAGAATTGTTACAGAATCTTTAGCCAATGCCAATACTCTAAGGAAAAAATTCCTTCATTTTGAAAAGAGTTCTAGTTCTCCAAAACAAGTTTTGACACGTTGTGCCACACATACCTAAACCTAATTTGATCATTCTAAATATACGATCAGCATGTTGTTGTGGCAATTCCAATGTGAAACCGCTAGCCAATAACGATGTTTCATATAATAACATGACTAAATCTTTTACAGATTTATCATTTTTATCTTGATCAACTTTTGTTTTTAATGTTTTCATGATGGAATGATCCGGATTAATTTCCAGATGTTTTTTAGCTGCCATGTAGCCCATTGTTGATGTATCACGAAGAGCCTGTGCTTTCATTATACGTTCCATATTGGCTGACCAACCATATTGTGATGTGACAATACAACATGGAGATGACACCAAACGATTTGAAACGATGACTTTTTCAACTTTTTTATCTAAACATGAAAAACAAATAGAAAAATATAGGAGTACAATTTTTCAGTTATCTTTCACTTACCTAAAATGTCTTTCATTATTTTACATAATGGTTCGAATTTTTCTTTATCTTGTTCACGTTTTTTCTTTTCCTCCTCATCTTCAGGTAATTCTAGACCTTCTTTTGTTACAGATACTAATTTTTTATTATCATATTCTTTTAATTGTTGTACACAGTATTCATCAATTGGTTCAGTCATGTACAATATTTCATAACCACGTTTTCGTACACGTTCGACAAATGCAGACTGTTCAACATGTTGACGTGATTCACCCGTAATATAATAAATATCTTTTTGATTTTCTTTCATTCGTGAGACATAATCTTTCAATGATGATACTTCATCGCCCGATGTCGATGTATGATAACGTAAATAGTCACTGATCTTTTTACGATTTCCGGAATCTTCATGAATACCTTTATGAAGTAATAAAAAAGCATATTATTAAAAGATAGTACATTACACGTCAGAATTTTCAATACCACTGTTTGATAATTCTTCGTACTAAACTCTACACTTTAAAATAGTACACTTACCTAATTTTAAGTTTCTTGAAAATTGTTCATAAAATTTTTTGAATGATTCTTTATCTTCAGAAATTTCTTCAATTAATTCCATACATTTTTTCACTAAATTTTTACGTATAACTTTCAATATTTTGTTTTGTTGTAATGTTTCACGTGAAATATTTAATGGTAAATCTTCTGAATCAACTACTCCTTTAATGAAATTCAAATATTCTGGCATCAATTCTTCACAATTTTCCATGATAAATACACGTCGTACATATAATTTAATTGCATTTTTTTGTTTACGATTTTCAAATAAATCAAATGGTGCACGTTTTGGAATAAATAATAATGCACGAAATTCCAATTGACCTTCAACCGAAAAATGTTTAACAGCTAAATGATCTTCCCAATCATTTGTCAATTGTTTGTAGAATTCAGCATACTCTTCCTAAAAACAGAGATAAACTCAAAATAGTATAATTCAAAGACGTTCAAGAAATGAAAAAATAATGGATTAGCTCTCTACTGTGCAAAAAGAATCATTTCCTATTGAATTTTTCTTCATTATTTATGCTCGTCTAACGGATACTTATAATAAATATTTTTTCTGTCATGTCAGCTATTTTCGGTTATGGAATAACATCCAACCGAATCGGTGAGACCTTTTTCACGTAAACTGAACAAACATGAAGGAGATTCCCGTTCAATCAACAATACAGATACAAATGACTCAGACTTCCAAAGAAGGCATTCTTTTTATCTTACATCTAGACATTCAAGTGGAAACTGCGTAGATGGGAATAAAATTCATCACAGTCATATATTTTAGTTGTATTGCACACTGTACTGTATTGTATCTTTTCTGACCAACCACTTCTTGTCACAAAAAGACTCTCTAAAGTGTCCATTCTATATGATGCCGTGTCGTGTAAGAACTCTATAGATTTCTTTCTATTCTAACAATTCATTATCCAGATGGTCGAATTACAGACAAAACCAAGGAAAAAAAATATATCGACTTACCTGTGAAACATCTTCTGGATTTCTTGTCCATATTGGTTTTTGTTTATTTAATTCTTCTTCATCGGTATATTTTTCTTTGATTTTTTTCTTTTTCTTTTTATCTGAATCTTTTTTATTCGTTTTATCTTCATCATCTTCGTCTTCATCAAGTTCTTCAACTTTGGCTTTTGACTCATCATCAGCTTCCTTTTTGCTGTCGTCATCTTTTTTCTCTTCAGTTGTTTTTTCTTTTTTCTCATCTTTTGTGTCATCTTCATCATCTGAAATTTCTTTTTCACGTTCTTTTTGTACCAATAATTTGATGGGATAACCAATAAATTGTGAATGTTTTTTAACAACTTCTTTTACACGTTTTTCTTCTAAATATTCTGACTGATCTTCTTTCAAATATAAAACAATTTTTGTACCACGTCCAATTGGTTCCCCTATAATGAGAGAAAAAAATCTATGAGAACTTCTAAGTTCTTCAAAATATAATATGAGCGCATAGATCGATCACTCGGAAACGAATTATATAAACTGAGGAGGGTAGCTCGTGGTTCGAGGAAAAAACATGAAGTATCCATCATCTCTTACAAAATTCATAACGACAAATGAAATGTACTAATAATAAATTCTCACATCTAGCTCTCTAGCGTATTTAAATACTTCCACCTCAAAAGATCCTTTAGATGGGCTGTGGGCTTTACTTTCTTTACTTCTTTCAAAGCTATACATACCAGTTGTATCACGTTTAATTGTAAACGATCCACCGGCTGATGATTCCCAAACATACTGTTCATCATCATTATTTTTCGATGTTACAACGACACGATCAGCAATCAAATAGCATGAATAGAAACCCACACCAAATTGTCCAATCATTGAAATATCAGCACCAGCTTGTAATGCTTCCATAAATGCTCGAGTACCTGATCTTGCAATTGTACCCAAATTGTTAACTAAATCGGCTTTTGTCATTCCAATACCGGTGTCGATAATTGTAAATGTATTTGATGCTTTATCTGGTATGATTTTGATATATAATTCTTTACCAGTATCTAATTTTGATGGATCAGTTAACGATTCATAACGAACTTTATCCAAAGCATCGCTGGCATTTGAAATAACCTCACGCAAGAAAACTTCTTTGTTGGAATAAAATGTGTTAATGATCAATGACATTAATTGAGCAATTTCAGCTTGAAATGCAAACGTTTCAACTTCACCCGAATCACTTTCCATTTTTTGGTCAGACATGATTAATGAGTTAATTAATAAACGATATTAATATACGAAAAGACAGTTGAATTCAAAGAGAGACAAGTGAAACGATGTTGTGTTACCGATCTGAAAAATATGAATGCGAAGCAATGGAGTCTATTTTATACGTTTTATACTTTTTATATGGAAAATTCGAGAATGAACTTGAATTAATAAAAGGAAGAGAGAAAAAAATCTCGTCGTGTTTGGATTTTTCTCTTCCTTTCTCAGTCATATCACATGTAGACAAGAAAGAAAATAGGAAAAAACCAGTCATACCGACAGAAGAAAAAAAATACATCAACGTGGCGGCCAATGTTCGCATTACGCGACGTGGATCAAAAATGAGATAATGAAATTATAAAACACGATGTGTTGTGTTGTCCATAGTCGTTAAGGTGACTAATACATTTATTATTTGAAAGTTAAATATTTGTGCATGAAAGGGAAAAAGAAAATTAATCATAACTAAAATGGTTTATTAGATAAATACGAAAAGTTACGGAAGAAACCCAAGGCTAAAAGCACAATATGCAGTGATTTCGATTAGGAAGGAGGGAAAACACCCCCTCTTTGTGTGAAATGAATTATTCACTTGAGAAAAAAATTACTCGGTTCGTAAAAAAATTTGCTCACTCCAAAAAGTTGAAGGCCTTTATCTTTTTGGTTATAAACTAAATTTCTTTGAGTAAAAATGAGAAAAATGGTACCCAGAAAATATTTTTGAGTTGCTCAGTAAAAGTTTCCTCTTGCCAAAGTTATATCGAAAACGCTGGCAATATGGTGTAACTATCACTCATCTTCATGAACATCATTTGACGAAAAAGCACTATGTGGAAGAAAGTCTTCTATGAAGATTAAAGACTGAGATTGCTGAGTAACGATGAAAAATAAATATAGATTCATCTGCAAAACGTATTCGTCGTTTCGTGTCACATTTTTTTTTTAATAACTTTATCAAGCATGATAACATTTTCTAACAGGAAATCAACTGAAAAAAAGATGAGTCTTTGTGCCACCATACTCTCTTTATTCCGCAGGAGAAATATTGAAATAAAAATACACACCTTGTATCTTTTGCTTTACTTATTTAATAAATAGTATAAAAATCGTACAAACATTTACAAAATACACAAAAAAATATGTTAATAAAATTCACAGTTGAAATTCTCGTTCAATCATTTAATTAAAAGAAATAATCACAGATTCTCATTTTGCACATTACATATCTACCATATGTGCATGAAAAAAAACTATCACAAAAGTGTAAATTAGTGTGTATAATCTGAAATCTCTATTCTCCGCTATCTTTCTTGTTGTGAATGTTAAGGACATATCATGCGTCTTCGGAAAGAAGTAACGTTCACTCTGTTTCGTTTCCACATTGTCGTTGTTTTTTAAGCATTTCACTCAACATTTGATTACAGGCAGCTGCATACGGATTTAATAATAATACTTGTTGTTTAGCAAATCCACTTCCCAATTCGGCTGCTTGTTTAAAATCTTCAATAGATTCATCTTCTTTACCTTAAGAGAAATTGATATCATTGTGTTATCACATAAAAATTTCTTCAATGGTTGATCCGTAGTAGGACATAAATATTTTGTTTTAACATTTTCAAAATAAAACTCTTATCTTCTACTATAAAGTTTTCTGCTGTGTTCGTAAATAATCACAGTTTTTATAAGTGAAAGCTAATCTTTTTGATATAATCCTGTCTACAGGAGAGAAATTCTAATGAGAAACTAAAAAATGTTTCAAACTACTTGTGACTAAACTATTTCGCTTGTCTTGAATTAAAAAATAAAATATATTGATACAAGAGAATTATTATCTAGATCGGTTACTTTTGGTTTTAACATCGTATATTTCACCATTATCTATCTCTAGAGCAAAATGAGACGTTATTTCACAGTTACTTCGTATGAATTACTCGCTTAGAGAGAAAACCCACATTAAAAAGCTGTTTCCTACCAAAACAACGGATGCTTGATTTTTCAATCTACTCACCCTATACGCTTTTATGATCTGTATGGTGATATCATCGGTTTTGTAGGTTTTTAAACAGTTTTCTAAAACCGCAGAAAATTGTTCCCAGTCTATGTTTCATTAAGTTTTTTTGGAATGTGGAGATTAACAGAGTAAACTTTTCTCTTGAAATAAGTCATGCCGCAGCTGTATACGGCTTCACATTAAAAAGTTATATACATAGAAAATAATATTACTTAAGCAGAATCTTAACTGGTAAATTTACTAGAAAACAAGATGTTAGTAATTACTTATATGCATTTAACATTAAACTAAGATGTTAGCAGTTCATCAACCAAGTGCTACAACGACCGTTTCGGGACATCGAACACTACAGATTACGACTTTTTGACAACCTATAACGTAACCTATTAATGTTTTTCGTAACCTAACCTAGATTAATCTAATATAACCTATGCAATTTTTTCCCAAAACCTGTTTTCAGAAGCCTAAACTTCAGCTTTGTTCCAAATCATTATTGTTTCTTATCTAAACAACGACTGACAGAAAAGCTTATATAAAATAAATCATATTTTAACTGAATATAGAAACGAAACAGTTGAATTTTTTATCCTTTAATGCAAAGTTTGGAGAATAACTTTCTGAGTAGGGAGACCCTCTTAAGAGTAGATCAGAATTCCACTTTAGGCTCTCGACTCTACGAAGGTTGAAATTCTGTATCTTTTGATATAAAACCAATAATTTTTATAAGTCAGGACTTTGACGAAGTCTCCAAAATAAAGTACCATCTCGTCGTGTCTATTAAACATCTCTTGATGAAAAACTCAAGTGTTTGTTAACCCTTGACAGCTGTTTTCATTTTTGGACTTCATGGCTGCTCAGGGGTCCGGTTGGACTCACACGGGAACGTATGAGAGAAGTTCAAGATTTTTACCATTTGATTGAAGCTTTTCATGCATGGATCAATGGTCTACATCGTGCTGCTTCTAGGCGTGGATATGTTGATACTGATGCAGGGTTTCTAACGTATATTATTCAGAAAACATTTTTGGGAAAGGTTTTATTATTAGGTATGCACCAGTTTATAACTGATATCCGGGAAAATTTCTATATATCGGTTATCAAGATTCGCTCATAGCTGCGGAACGTCTCAGTTTGAAGAAAAATGTTTGTTCTACCAAAACGACGACAGAGGGCGGCTCTAACACGGCTGGAATCCTAAATATAACACCATGGTTGTTATCGGGTCCGTGCGGAACCACACTCCCGTTTTTTGTCTGTAAGACTCATTCACGAGACTTGATATAGGCAATGTGTATGGATAGAAGATTGACGATTAGGAAAGAGAGCACCTCGAAAGAGATGAATACTGCCGAGTAAGAAACAAAAAGCTGCATAGTGGGTCCAACTGGACCCCCAAACAGCTGTCAAGGGTTAACTGCACATTTTAAGACTATTGCAAACTTTTGAACCACTGAATATTTCGCTAGAAAAATTTACTATTTCTCTTTCATATCGTTACCGACATTTTCTGTAAGTTTCATTAGAATCGATTGATCATTATAAAAATTGCTTGAAAGATAGGAAAGAGACTCTCAACCAGATAAACAGAGCTTCAGTTTACTTCGTTTAGTGACTGATGCTTTGAACCTTTTCTATATTGCACTGAACAACAAATATCTACCAGTCTATTATACAACTCACTCAGTTAAACTTACTACCCATTAACATATATCTTCTTTTCATGCATAATTTTCAAGCAACACTTGGTATCCAATCCACTTCGTCAGAGTGCTCAGGAAAAAATATTTAACACCTATCTGAGTTCTTGTCGTTGGATAACTCAAATTTTTGGGAGTAACTTTTGAAAAGAGGAAAGAATTTCTCGTTCGATCTACTCCAATCAATATGTCTGATGCTATTGCAACGTATTGGCAATAGTTTTACGAGAAGGTCATCAGAACAATATCGGGTTAATAATGCGCATATCTTTATAGCTTTCATTTGTTGAAACGCAAAACATATCTTAAAAGGACTCATTCCACTTCACATCTTACGAATTCGATTTTAGTTAAAAGTCGTATTTTTAGATTAGCATAATTATTTGAAATATCTCAACAAATATTACAGCTACTGCACAGAAAATCATTTACCTAAATATTTTTGTAATATTCCGCGTTGTGTCAAGGCTAAACATAATACTTTCTGTTGGTTTGATTGTACTGAAGCTAAACTAACTGCCATATTTAAATCATTTATTGCGCCTAAATAGAAATCAAATAAGAATACGTCCAAAAACTGAAAGAAAATGGTAAAAGAATGCAATTCCACAAGTACAAAGAAGAGTTTATTACACGTGAAACAGAACCAACTAGAGACGCAATTTGCTGTAAAACGTGTAGAATAAAATGTCTACTTGATAATTGTTTCTGAAAAACGAGAAGTTACGGCGAATTTTAAAAGTTTTTCAGAGAGAGTTTTATCGAAAACAAACAAACAGGAAAACGTAAAATCTAGCCTTCGAACCTCTTCGAAAGAGATTTTTTCATAATCCCCAAGACTTTTCTAATCATTTTTTATGATCAGTGTTAACGATCTTTTTCGTTAATAAAAAATATTTATAGGTTCAAATCAGTAAAAACTGAAGTGATCATTTTTGTTAACCAGCCTCTAGAAGTCTACAGTATACTTTAATTCGAACGATAATTCTACAAAGTCTGGCGTACTCAAAAGAAAAATAAATTTAAAAATAATATGCTGATCAGTACTGGATAAATTCTTTGAAAGGAAGACGTAGCGATCTTTTTGGCTCTTACGTGATTGAGGCTGAGTCACAATCATGATCGACTCTTATTTTTAATCCAGTCGAGGTAACGGAATTTTCCTGCGATCATGCCATGACGTCATGATATTAGCATAACCGCGATCGCGTCAAGAAGACAGCAAGAAAGTTGACCTGGTCACTTACTCTTCCTTGCTAGTTACTACCGATTTTCTCCAAGGTCTTTCAAATTTTTTAACAAAGAGAAAATCGAGAAAAAGTGGATGAATTAGAGACCAGCATACCATCTATATTTCTTTGCAATTGATACGCTTGTGCCCGATTATTGTATCCAGACGCCCACTGGGGAGCTAATTCAATTGCACGTGTGAAATTATCAATGGCATCTGCATATTTACCCTTCTCGGCTAATTCGACACCTAAAAACAATACGAAGAAAAAGAAACAAAATAAACTCACACAAAGACTTTTGAACCGTAATAAATATGCTAGTCGCATTGCTTATAATAGCTCCCATGCGGTTTGTAAAATAAGAAATCTATAGTAGGACTTTACCGGATACTTAAGACATTAAATAATATCCAGTATAGTTTGTAAATATGAAAAGCACGTCCAAGCAATGTCTTAGGTTCAATAAATTTCAGGCGAGTAACATAGGTATAGCTATCAGTGATACTTTCCCACCTTCTTTTTCTAGTCGTTTAACAAGTTTTATATTTTCTGATTGCACTAAAAGATACAATAAAATAAAAAGACGTGAATTACAAATGCACAATCCAATTGTTCAGCTAAGATTTTACCTTCTTCATCATCGATATGTTGTTGTTGCTGATCGTTGTTAAAATCCAGTGGATAATTTGGATTAAATATGGTATTTAAAACGTATTTATCATGAATTGTTGTCGAAGTCATTTTTTCAAGTGTTTACCACTAAATAACTACGTTATCTGAGACAGAAACAAATACAAAATAAACGACTATCAATATAAATTAGATTAACCATAAAGAAAATATTGAAAAATACTCTAACTTATTACTCTTCTGGTATTGTTTAGCTAGAGTCATTGTTATTATAGGTCGGGAACCTCTGGTGGCTCTCACTTTTCGTGAATAAAACAGTCTTACGTGGGAAGGTCTCCAAGTGTGACCCTCAGTTTCGAATGGGATACATACGAGTTCGTGAACTCGGCGAGCTGATTACGATGGCATAAAGGATTTTTTCCCACGGCTCTTGAAGATCTGGTTTTCTGGAAAATCAGTTTTTCAGATGCTCTAAAAATAACCAAAACCTTTCTTAATGAGGCATAATAACGCGCATATTTCTGATTAAAACAAGACAGCTCTACACGACCTTTCTTTGTCACAAAAAAACTTAAGTCTTCATTATGTGCACTTACGTGCTAATTTTATACACTTAAGCCTGACTTAAGTCTAGACTTTGACTTAAGTTTTTTCGTGATACGACTCCCTGAATGTTCATTGTCAGCTCAAAGCTACAGAAATAAGAAATTAAATTAGGGCTTTTGTTGTAAATTCTATAACTTTGCAAAGAAAGGTCATGTATAGCTGGGAGATGTCTCAATTTAATTAGAAATATGCGGGCTACAATTATACCTCATTAAAAAATGTTTTGGTTATTTTTTAGAGTTTTTGAAAAACTGGTTTTCCAGAAAAACGGGTCTTTAAGAGCCATGGAGAAAAATGCTTTATACCATCGTAATCAGCTCGTCGAGCTCTAAAAACTGGTATGTATCCCATTCGAAACTGAGGGTCACACTTGGGGACCTTCCCTCGTTAGTCTTACTAAATATTTTAGAAACTAAACACAAAACTTTTCTTCAGTCTTCTTGAGCGCTATACGTTTTGAGAGATATTTTGTACTTTTTTGAGAGATACACATGACACATTTCCGTTTGAAAATTCTAATCGTAGTACTTAATTGCCCGAATGCTCCAACTATCTAGAAGGTGCTTTTTTAGTCATCAGTAGTCTCTCGTTTAGTCTGGATAAAATATATTTTAAATAGCTATTATATCATATAGATAAATATAAAGTGAATAGCGTTGTTTCTTTTTGTTATGGCTCCATATTACAACTTCAAAAAATGGCCAACTTCGAAAAGAAAAAAAAGCATTAGGCTATGTTCACACTACGAGTTAAGCAGCTTAATTTTTTCGGCTACAGGATCCTGATTCGTGCCATACCGTTACCTCCGAAACGCCACAAATCACAATCCTTAAGCCGAAAAAATTAAGCTGCTTAACTCGTAGTGTGAACATAGCCATAGCACATGAACCGAATGATCATGATATCATTGGATAAAACCTTGATGAATGAGCGTGCTTTGGGATGAGTGCCGCTTAAAATCAGGATGAGAATAAAATAATTGACTGATTAATTATTTTAGATCATAATAAGATCCTCGAAAAGTATTGTGGGTTTATATATACTGGCATATTAAAAAAAATTGATTTGATTAATAGAATTTCATTTTTTGCAGTTTTAAAAGAAAATTTATACCTAGGATATGCCGGTTTTTTACCAAAAATCACTCTCTCTGTCGTACCGTTTCTTGGCTCATCAAATATATGTCATATAAGTTTGTAGTAGGACCTATAACTTTGCCCATACAACTATCCTAGACACTTTCCGTTTTTCATCCTCAGTTTTCCAGAAATCCTCTTAGAAAACTGCGGTGTGGAAACACAAAGAAGCCTCAAAAAACATTGAAGTACATTGAATTCTTAATACTAAGCAGGAATGTAGATTTATAATGGCTCAATTTTCTTTTCATAAAGTAAGGTTTTAACAGGTTTTCTGGAAAACTGAGGGTGAAAAACGGAAAGTGTCTAGGATAGTTGTATGGGCAAAGTTATAGGTCCTACTAAGTAGTACCTATCCTGAAAAAATCTTGAAAAATTTTGGAGCATTTAGGAGAAAATGGAGATCAAACTTCAGGAATTTTTCAAGTAAATGGAGTATCACTCGAATGTGACGTTAGATCGAGACCAAATTCCTTCACCATTAGAAGCAACTCATTAAGAGCTACAATTTGATGTATAATTATGCAATGTTTCGTTCATTTTCACCGACTTCGGTTTCACCCTCACCAAAAAATTGAGGTGTCTAGAAAACCACTTTCCAGATGTTTTTTCAGAAACGCGTAAGCGAGACCTTTAGGTTATTTTTGATACTCTACACGATGGGCAGAGTGAAATTTTCGCGGCTAATAGTGAATGTAATAGTGGACGGAGCTGTATGAAAGCACCCTATTGATATATCTTATAATATTTTTGGTAATATTCTGTTAAAATTCTTAAAAACTGTGTTCAAGCTAAACGACAAATTTGTAGAAAATTAGCGTAGTTTGTGGAGTAGTGTAACTTTTTCTATTACTGTGTAACCATTTATAATCGATGCATCATGTTTTACTCAGACTTTCTTCGAGAACATCATGCATCGAAGGCAACTGGCATCAATTTCCATAGTCTGTCTTTATTATGAGACTTTAATTTAATTCTTTAATTTTTAAGTTTTAGGAATTTGTGAAAAATATTTTAAAAAATTTCAATCTCAGATTTTTCTAAGTTTTTCTCCCGTGTATTTCCCAACTTTGGTTCGCCGTACGTGAAGAAAAAATTCACTCTTAGATTTTCGGAGAATGTATACCCATGGATAATACCACTCATATCAGTTTGTTGCTAGAGCCAATCTAGCATCCTGTAAATGAGGCGGGGTCAAGTAAAAAATCTTGTTCTAGATCTTGATAAAAACTTAAAAGATTTCTTAAGTTTCTGTTTAGTTCTTCGAAGATCTAATGCAGATTTATTGATATCTGACAAGATCTTGAGATCACGTTACAGTTCAAGATTGTCGACAATTTTTGTTACAGAATCTGTCTTGAAAAAACTTGATCAAGGTTTGTAAATGATTCTGACGATTTAATTAATTAGTCCGAATCGTGACAGATTTTCGTTGTCTGCAAAAAAATTGGATGAAAAAAAAATCAAGCATTACAACTACACTAATTATTGATGGGTATAGATAGGTATACGTTGTTTTTGAATATGTGAATATTTTCTAGTAGAATGAACTTCTTTTAAAAGATCGATATTGGATAAAACATTTGTATGAAAGTTTGTACAATATTATTATATTATTTATATTCATATTTATCCTTTCTATCAAGTTTTATTGACAAACTTATATGATATATATTTGATGAGGTACGACAGAGAGAGTGATTTTTGCTGATGACTCGAATCTCAGAATAACTCTATTTGCTATAAATTGTCCAAACACCTATACGATAATGATCTTTATGGCAAGGTATGCTAAAGAGGGAACGCAAATCTTTACAGATTAAGGTAATAATCCGTCAGTCGATATATGACTTCAAAAAACTTGCTACTGAGGGACAAGACGGACATAAGACTCAAGTGCGATTGGTAGAAAAATAAATTGCTGCGTAGCGATCGCAAATTAAGAAATTTTTTGAAAAATAAGAATTTATTGCTGCGGCGTCTATTCCCATTTAAGGATACCCCCTATTTCCTCTTTTTTGCAGAAAAGTTGTCATTTTGAACTGAACATAGTCTAATGTAGAGGAAAGTCTGGGCTATAAAATGAAACCACTCCCAGCTCTCCATGACCTTCCTTGAAAAAATTATGACGTTTTTAAGTGTTTCTTAAATGAGATGCTTTCGAGAATTTTCCGATAAGTTTTCTTAGAGATATAAGTATAGCCGCAAATGCCCTGAAAAAGAAAGCCCTGTGTACAATATGTGTTTTTCTCACTATGCGTTTTTTCGCTAGTCCCTTCAATCCAGTCACATTAAGACGTCTAGAAAAAATGGTCTGATCGAGTCCAAAATTTTACCACAGATACTTCAGACCTTATATCAGGTTCGTTTTTTCTAAAAAAGCATTTTTCACTTCAACTTTCGGCGTGAGAAGGTTATCAAAATGAAAAACCGGTTTTTATATGGGATTTTCAGTATTTTTCGGATATGTCGAGAAGAAAAGAATATTTTCCGAAAAGAAAAAACAAACCTGAGATAGGGTCTTAAGTATCTGTGGTAAAATTTTGAGCTCAATCGGACCATTTTTTCGAGGGGTCGTAATGTGACCCGATGAAAACTGGAGTTTTCCAGAAAACCTATAGAAGAACACGTCAGAAAATTCTGGGCAAAAATATATCGATTTTCTTTTTCGATGTTCTGTCTCTAGTATAAATTAGAGCCCGATCCAACATCGGCTTCCCTAGTTTCCAAGGGGGTAAAAAAAGAGAGGAGATACCCTTAAGCGTTTGAGGCCTACCATCTCAGAGGTTGGAACCATCAGTGTACCACCTGGAAAATGATTGTTATAGCAAAAAAGCGTTCCATCTACTTTTGTTTGAGACATTAATGCCTCAAACGTCCCACAGAATAGACGTCTCTATAACGCTGCGACAACAGGGACTTAATAGCGATCATGATAGGAATTGCGCGAATCAAGCGTGCCCGCGACGTCCACGATTGCGGTAGAAATGAAACAGGAAAGTTGAGTTGGGTATAGATATGCTGTATATAGACGAATATTTTGACAAAGTTCAGCCACATGTGGGAACTCCGGAAGCTCCTTATACCGATCACACGCCTATGGAAAGTTAGTTAGCGTTGGAAATCAATTTTGTTTCTTCCACACTATAAGTCCAAAGTGGGAAATTTTTCGTTCATTTAGTCAGAAAAAGGGTCAAGATAATAATAGTAGTCAAGTCATAATAATATGTCGTTTTTTGCTTTGGACTTGGTTGGCTTCAAGGAAAAAATTATTTTACCTGGTCCTAACGTGTTTTCAGGATAGTTTTGCCTAAGTATTTTCTCATGATCGTTAGCAGTTAAAACAAAACTTCTTCTGCAGAAGTGAGAATATATATAGCCCATGTGACTTGGTTAGATCTTGAAAGAGATATAGGTTTCCTATCATTGTACATAGCATAGCTATTTCGAGTTGAGTGCTTCTTCAGGCAGTCTCTTCACCCGTTTTTTTTACCAGCTACCCAAGCAAAAACGACCCAATTTTTTGGGTTATTTATCTAGATTCAGGTCCACGTACATCTAGATGCACGTGGAGCTGAATCTAGATAAATAACCCAAAAAATTGGGTCGTTTTTGCTTCGGTAATCGCGGACACTTCAGGCTATATGTTTCAAAGATTTTTATGGTTTTCGAGTTTTCGAGTTTTTTTGCCCCGTTTTTAAAATTTTATTAGAAACTTCAGTTTTAGATATGAATAGTTGATTCTAGCGTAGTTCGATAAAGGAGGTTAAATTATATACTTAAAAACCTTCAAAAAAATTTCGAACGAAGTTTAAACGTTGAAATTTAACTTTTACAATGGGATTTCAGAGTTAAAAGCATTTTGAAAAAATGCCTTACGTCTAGTTTCGCTTGAAGCAAGCATTGTAAAACAAAACTCTGAGTAAAAATAGTGGTTCAGAATCGAATTTTTGAGTCCCTCAAGCGAACTTTGTTCAAAAAACAAAGTTTTTAAATTTTTAAATTGAATATTTTGTACTTTTGAATTTAGAGTCAAATATGACAAAATATATTATTATAACATCTCAAGAAAATTGAAATGAAGTGAGAAGCTTTAAGGTAATGTCAGACCTGTTAGGTATAAGATTACTTTAGCTGGTTCCAAATATATTTACAAGAACAGTAGTTCACAGTCTTGGTGATAATGGTGGTGTACTTGTGCCGTACAGACTAGTTTTTCTTTTTCTTAATGAAAGTGTTTTTGTTGCTGATTTGTGTCGTTGATATACGACTTCTTCGACTTTTCGATAATGCAGTGTGGCAAGAATAATAATAACCATTAAAACTAATACACAAAAACAAACAGTAATAATAACTTCATTCGTACCTAATTTAAATGGGATACACGCAATGATATTTAAATATGGTTGTGGCGGACCTTGTTGTTGCGGTTGGCTCATGTCAATAAACGACATATTTAACTTTGATGAATTTGTTTTTAAAAAATAGACATATGGAACGTATTGTTCGTGAAATAAATTTGTCCATCCATTCGAACCAATTTGACAAACACTTGAATCTGACTGATATGAGTTTTGTAGATAGAGAAAATCAATTAGCTCGTACTCGTCTGTATCAGAACGCCATCTCACTACAGGTAATGTATTCGATGAAAATATTAAACTATCATTTAAATTAGCTATAGTAAAATTTCCATACGATACAAACATCATACGAATTTCAGAAGGACTTGACCTGTTTGTAGCTGTTTTTGAATTTATTAAAGATGAATTATCAAAATTAATGGAGACTTCTGTTGAGATTGGATGATCGAGTATGAAAAATAAATTAAGAAAAGTTGGATGAGTTAAATCGAATGTTGTCTTGGTACTATCCGTACGTAATCGGGCGCATTCGAAATTAAAATTTATGGCTAATAACGGAAATTGAGTACAAAGAACTGTCAAAGTATCTTGAACTGAAAAGTAGAAGCATGTACCAATGATAAATTAGATCGATTTTAAAATACTTACTTTGAAATAAATAAACTTTGTCGGTTAAACATGGCAAAATCGAATGAATCAACAAATAAACAACAACAATATAATCATAGTTCATTATATGATCATTAGTTTGAGAAATGAGTAACTGTGTAGGATAGTGAAGGTGATTGAAGCTAAATGAAATAGAAATTAAGGTGCCATACCTTATATTATCATTATGCTTTAAAAACAACTATTTAGTTAACTGTCGAGAAAAATTACAATCTATAATCTGGTTTTTATATCGCACCATTTTCTAACATGTTTTGAAGGGGCATCGTCAAAATCGCAGTATTTTTGACAATTAATTGCGATCCATGAAAACATCAAAATTTAACTGCGATTAATTCTTGATTTTAAGCGATTAAATGGTCTTTTGTTACACACCGTTTTATTTTACAGTAGAGTAAGGATATAAGAAACACGATTTCAATGAAAAATGCTCTTCTTCTTAGATCATCTTTTTATTTTAGATTAAGGCGAAGTTATCAAGAGTATTTTCTGTAGTCTTCTCAGAGCTGACTCATTGTTTCGATATGAGTCAGGTTTGAACCGAGGAGTCTAGTGAGTAGCTGGTATCTGCGCAATGTTTAACACCGACTTGAGCTAACGCGGTCATAAGATCGTTGCTGAGTGACATACATGTCATTGTACATAAAAAAACAATGAAAATGTATGTCTTTTTTTTAATGGGTTTTAGCTTGGGACTCAGAAGAAAATCGACAACTAATTGCGATTAAGCGCACGATTAATCGTATGATTTTTCCCGATTAATTGCCGATTTTTATGCGATTTTTAGTACATGGGATATATAGTCATAGAAACTCACACTAAAAGAGAAAGTATCGTAGACATACCAGTAATAAATTGAACATGGTGTAAATATTGTTTTTCTTTTATTCTATTGCAAAATCGTGTAGTATAACAGAACATGTATATTTTTGTTTATTTTTTTCGCGAATAAACTTCAAAAAAGGAGTCATCACTCTCACCTATACATCAATAAACGTTCCACTTGATTAAGCAGGTTGATATGGTCTACATGACTTATTATTTATACCCATCATCGCTTAAAACAAGCTGTATATTCATGCACATCTTGTTTAGTTATCGGATGAGCAAGAACAAATTGAACGATGTAAGTCAATTGACTAACTAATCTTCGTTCCTCACTCCACCTAATTTTTTTGATCACGTAATTAACAAATATGTAACGTTTTTATTCTGAACTTTGGTAATTGTATTGAAATTATTGTTTAAAGTCTCTCTTCATAGATAAATACATAATCCTGTAAGATTTTGATAACAGTTAGTTTGCCCTCTACTAAATACAAGAGGCTTGTGAACAATGCATAAATAAATTATGCAGTGTTTTTAAGAGACAGGTTGTTGTAGATCCAAATAGTTTCACTGACAGAAAAAAACGACAATCTTTGAGTTTACTCACTCTGATGATTAAGCAGGAATACTAGGATTCTTTACACTTTACTTTTCTTATCAACAGCTGAGGATACTCTTAACTAGGGGATGGACTGTTACCAGTTACCATTACCGATAACGGGTAACGACCGTCACTTGTAATAGTAACAGTTTGACTGTACTTGATACAGTAGGCAATTTTGACTTGGCACGTGGACATGTGCTAGAAAAGTAGCCCGAAAGCCTCTAAGCACTCCTTTTATAGGTTTTCGTATGTGCTCTTTTCAACGGCGTGGTTTTCAAACTTTCGAAGTATGTTCATACTAGTTTTCCAAAGACCGGATTTCTGGAAAACCCGTACAGACACACTTTCAAAGTTTGGAAACCACACCGTTGAAAAGACCACATACGAAAACCTATAAACAGAGCGTTCAGAGACTTTCGTGCTATTTTTCTACCACATGTCCACTGCCAAGTCAAAATTGCTTTTTGGCTAAAACTGTCGCATTACACTGAATCGAAACACTTTCTGCTCAGAAATACTTCGTATTTACATTAATCGACGTCGCTTTTCATACTGATTCTGAATATCATATTGTTTTTTAATATAAGTGCTCCTGAACTGCGAAAAATGGAAAACACCTGAAAACCCAGGGGGCTTTGGAAAACCTATAACTCAACTTCGAAAACTATACTGAAAAATGAGATTTGTATGTCTTGATAGTATTAAAAGAATTATGAATTATATATAAGGATAATACTCGCAGTTAACATTTTAAGTCAGAATTCATATTAAACAAACTTAAAAGTTATTTTATTCATTTGATTTAATCGCTACCCGTTACAGTAACGGTAACACTTGAATCGTTACCTTTACTAGTAACACAAAATCGTTACCGTTACCGGAGTAACGAGCGTAACAGGAACGAGTAACGGTCCACTCCCTACTCTTAATCTCTGTTTTCTAATTTTGATCAGAGAAAACAAACATTTGTACAAACATACAATGTGTCTACAGTGTCAGCGTTCCTACCAATGTTGTTAGTTTTGTTGATGTACAAGAGATGGTTTTGTCCAGTAATTTATACGTGTAAATCAACAACAATTGCACAAACTATATTTAGTTACACTTGATATAATCAACCTTCTTATGTGATTTCCTTTTATACAGCGGAGTTGACATATATTAAAAGTATCGAATCAGAAACTATTCATATACTAGGCATACACCGGTTATTTTATTGGGGCTCTTGGGGACGGTAGTTTTAAAAATTGGACAACCCTTTTAAAATTTTTTCTGGTCAACAGTTTTGTGCACAACTGTTCGCTCTACAAAATAAGACGTCGCAAAGTTTCTCATGATGGTTCGTCGATGAGATATGACTTTTTTTTTAAAAAAAGGACTGGTTAATAACCAGTGCATTTTCCAGGTAAAAACTTTATATCTCATCGAAAAACCATCGTGAGAAACTTTGCGACGTCTTATTTTGTAGAGCAAACATTTGTGCACAAAACTGTTGACCAGAAAAAATTTTAAAAGAGTTGTCCAATTTTTAAAACTACCGTCCCCAAGAGCCCCAATAAAATAACCGGCGTTTGCCTAGTATATGAATAGTTTCTGATTCGATACTTTTAATATATGTCAACTCCCGCTCTTTGATACTCCCGGAATAGCACAGTTCTATTGGTTTAAATGTAAAACCACTAGCTCATCTTTCCTACCAAAAACTATACTACGTAACTACGTTTTCGAAAGAATTACCCGTGGCAGGAATCAGGAGTAAGCGCGTCGCTCAGCAAACTTCCCTTCGATTCTGTTTCTCAAAATCTCAAAGACTTAAACTGATTGATAAAGCAGAAGAATAGTTTGTTGGGTCCTCACTTTTGAAAGAAACGCTACTCAGCAAAAACTCTTTAGATTTTTTCGCGGTAAATTTAAAAGTGCTTTAGCAGCGTTTTCCTCTGAAAAAACACAGAAAAGGTGCGTGCGCACATGTAGAAAAACTAAACACTAAAGGTTATTCTCCGAAAAGGCTCCGATCCCGAATTTTCGATACTGAAAAACACTGTCCTATGCAGAGGTGCTTTCTCCTTCTTGACTTTCCTACGATCAGAAAGATTTCCTATTCCCTTTCTTTGTCAACAGTGTTTCATTTTTTTTTTCTTATTGTTTACTTTCAGATACATTTTGTTTATTCAACGACGACGGACTATGACTTTGATGGATCACATCCCGAAGAAAAGACTCGTAAGATGTAATCCGTCAAGTTTCATGCTAAGTTAATATGAAATGAACGGAGAATTGTTTGTGGTAACAGAACTTTAACTAACTTTATCTATCTACTTCTACAGATAGTCTTGTTCATCCATTCTACATCTCTCACCATATCTGACTTTAACTTCGAGTCGAAAAAAGTCAGACATCCTACTATTTTTCGCATCGTTATATCGTGCTTTGCGGAAGATAGTTTTTGTACTTCATTAGAGATAGAAAAACAGTAACCGGGGGGGCGGGGGGGGGCGGGGGGGGGGGGGGGGGGGGGGGGGGGGGGGGGGGGGGGGGGGGGGGGGGGGGGGGGGGGGGGGGGGGGGGGGGGGGGGGG